GTTGCGGCCCTACCAATGTTGAGACCAAACTTACAACCTTGGCCAAATCAAATTCTGCTCAGGGCTGACTCTGGGTTAGTTAGTATGGTATAATGCACAATAAGTTAAAGGTTACAAGGTTCATTTATTTATCATTTGACACAGGGTTGTACAACAAGATGAGACTCTCACCATGCAAAATAGTTTCATTTTTATGACTCCTCATTTATTCACTCATTTACTGTATATAATTTTTGTTTTGGTGAGTAGCATAAAGGGAACTACAACTAGCACCTCCATATACATCTTTTATAGTAAATATCCAGTATGAGATGACATAATAATAATAATAATAATAATAATAATAATAATAATAATAATAACATAATTTATACTTTTTTGGGCTGAGGTGTCATATAGCTGCTTCCCTGTCCTGCCAGAATGTTTTGAAGGTGATTGGTATTTTCCAAGATGGCCTGAAGCTTTACACTGACAATATTCAAGTACAATGAGCAAACAGCACCCACATTGCATTTACATTTACGCGTCCCTGTGCTCTTTTGGGGTCATGAATTTACACTAGGGGATAAATAAAGCATCTATCTATCTATCTATCTATCTATCTATCTATCTATCTATCTATCTATCTATCTATCTATCTATCTATCTATCTATCTATCTATCTATCTATCTATCTATCTAAAATTAAAATGTAAATGCAAGCTGTTCGTCCTCTCATCAAGGCAAGTCATCAGTTAGCATATCACTTCCTTGCCACTTGTTTGTCTGTCAGGGGCAGTGGCAGCTGCTTGTTTTACCAGGGCATAAATGACACAAAGATCCACTGTGATATGCAGTATTTAGTGTTATTGGAAACTTTGTGGCTGTGAGGACGAGTTCAACAGAAATCTTTCAGGGCAGTTGAACAGCTTCTACCCACTCTGTGATGTCACTCACTCTAGCTGTGAATATTCAGCCACATACACACTAAAAATCTGGAGAGGTCCAGAAACGTTCAATGAAACTTGAACTGTCACTGTGTAAAAACTATGAATGGGATTTCTATAGAGGTAGATTTGTCTCAATGTTTGTCTCACAAATGGAACGAATGATTACATTAAACCCAATGGTAAAGAAATGAGACCGGATATCTCTTTACAGGTTGGATGGGCATTAAATGTGGTCTATCTAAAATGTATCTTCATCATCTACACAGTGCAAAAAATCCAGCACCCTGCTTTCATTCCCACAGTCCGCAACATTAATGTTTACTGTCGCTATGGGAACAGGAGTCGGTTTATAACTTTAGCCTACATATTAACAATGAACAATAAAATTATTGTTAAAAAACAAAAACAAATATCAACACCAACAGCCATACTATCAAAGCCCTTAACCAGGTCCTGCCACTTCATATCTTACAACCGTTAATGTAGTGTACGTTACTTGTCGCCAATTATTTGGGGAAGAAAAACATCACATTGAGGACTACGTGCTCTTACTTTGAAAAGCGGGAAATTCCGTCAACAGATAATCACGTGTTTCTCGAAAGTAGCATAGTGAAAGAAGTCGCTTTTGGTTCAGACTGGTGGAAAAAAATGTCAAATTCTGTGTGTGTAAAATTAAGATCCACAAGCATAAAATTGAAATCAACAAATGCTTTTTCACAAATAGAAAACTGATTCTCAAACGTCTGTTTGGCAATTGTAAATATTGGGAAGATATTCACAAATGCTTTTCATTTATCTGTAAATAAATTGACTGCATTCACAGATTATTTTTTATTTGTGGAGTTTGTTTGTGTATTAGCAAATCTGTTTCATATTTGCAAGATATTTCCGTGAATTTGCATTTTTTTTTTTTTTTGATTTATTAGTGGAAGGGGTTTTTTATATTTACAGATTACACATTTACACACGGATTATCGATCTGTTCACACAAATAATATTGAAACAAATCTACCTCCATACTTTCTGTTCCGTGTGTTGGCCACAGTCACACACAGAGATATAGCCTAATCGTTTTACGGTTACAAAATGAATTGGATTGAATGAATATGAATAAAAGAGATGTCTACGATGTACAGCGTGAATTAAGAAAGTAAGAAGTGTTTTGTTTTTCAAAAGTATTGCACCAAAACCAACCTCGCCATGTCAAGCACCGAAAAAAGAATAAAATAAATATAAAATAAAGTAACAGCAACACAGAAAAGATTGAAGCTGTAATGTTATAGATATATACTTTATTAATTCTCTCTGATAAAATAAAATTACAAAATAATTTCAACCTCAAACGGCACTTTCCTTGTTCATAATTATTTAACATATTGTTAATACATATATCATAATTGTCATGACGAATGAGAAGAATACTATAGTTTGATAATATTAGATATCAGCTATAACTGCGTTTAATCATAATGGTAGAAAAGACTAAGCAATACAAAGCTAGATTTCGTTAACATCATACTGTACAATATTCCAAGCGTATGTAATTCAGTATTCCGGCCACAGCGTGTCGCTATAAGACAGTTTTCGATATTGTCTCAAATGCAAGGGTAGGCTTGTCTCTCTTCCCATCACACCATTGTAATTCCTCTCAGATATACCTCTCTTTCTATGTTTTATTTATTTAATGAACAGCTGTTCCTGCATGGCCATTTATCCTTTATAAGGTTTATTTGTGTTCCCTTGTGTTCCTCCTTAGTCCACCTTGATCTGTTTTAAAGCAGTGAAGAGCAGTCCATGTACAGCACTGTAACAAGTCCATGCCCAGATTTTCACAGTTATTCCCTCAGAAATATTGTCAAGATATCTGCAACGCCTCCTGCTATCTTTTGTCCCCAGTGACAGCAGCGTTCCCTGCCTCTTATTGAAGTCCATTTAAGAGAGAGCACTTTGGTTGTCGAGGTGTGTGTGTGTGTGTGTGTGTGTGTGTGTGTGTGTGTGTGTGTGTGTGTGTGTGTGTGTGTGTGTTTGTGTGTGTTATCTGTGTGTATGTGTGTGTGGGTGTCTGTTCCTGTGTCTACATGGCAGTTTAAGTGGTCGAGCAAGCAAGAGTGTTTGAGTGTATTTCTTTACACAGAATACATTCATGATAACAGTGAGTAGTTTTGGGACTGCAAGCTTGAAAAAAAAGATGGCAGTAGGTAAGGTCTTCTTCCCATCATTCAGGGTCATAGACACAACCATACACTGTGAAAAAATATTAATCACATCAACTTATAATCACACAGTTAAATCATTGTAGGATTTTCAAGACAATTAGATTACTAGTGTAAAAATCTATATTTTAGTAACTATAACATTTTTTCATCAGAAAATGGCAGAAAACAATAGAGACTACAGTATGTCATTCAATTTGACTCCACTGACTTCAGCCACATGAAAGCAAAAGACTAAGCAGATCACTTATTATTAATGGGTAAAGTTTTGATTTATATTGGTCTGCCTCTGGGCAGAAAGACTCTAGTAAATGTTTTAATAACATATAATGAGAAGACTCACTGAGTGTGGAGCATTAAGTTTGTGCAAAGCTCCGTGTTGTAGTTGCAATACCATCTTCAAAATAAATCAGCCAGATTGAAATGCCAATTTAATAAATGCTTGTGTTATAATCTAATCGTTCATCCAACCACCATCCCAGGTTCAACGCACTTGATACAACTATTAATTGTCCATTTTCTGAGGATTACATGAAAAATGTTCACAGAAATTAAACAAAATCTTAACTCTTTTCAAGTCTCATTTCAGTACAGCAAACCTACAAGTACACTTAAACATCAGTTCAACTTAATCTGTAAATCAGTAAATGCAGTAATTTATCCTGTTATAGTCGTGTTACGTTATTTTATCGTCTGCTTCTGTCTTCTTCATCACAAATAGATGTTATGATGACTCACGTCCCTCAGTATCATGTCATCTTCTTTCAGCTTGATTTGTGTGGTTCGGTGAACTGTTAACAATTCTCCCAACTGAGTAGTTAAAATGTCACAACTATTCTAAGTCTAAACTACTGCATTAGCTCACACCCACAAACGATAAAGTCGTTAGGATGAACATTTTTTACAGTGTGTCTACATTGCTTGGCAGTGCTCTGTGGAGATTGACAGTGCATTGAGTGCTTGGCAGTATAGGCTTTAGTATTATCTAATGGGCTGGTGCATTAATTTCTTTGTGTGAGTGGAAATAGGGCCTGCATTGTGAAAGATTGTGTATTTATGTTTGTGCTATGTTAACTTGTATTGCGTGGATGATGAGTCAATATAATTTATGTTTGCAAGTGTGTGTGTGTGTGTGTGTGTGTGTGTGTGTGTGTGTGTGTGCAGTGCATGCCACTAGTTTTTTTTTTCTTTAATCGTGGTCGTATTGATCGAACCTTCTGTTAAAGGGATGCTCGTTAACACACAATTAGCATTCAGATAGAAAATACATCATAAGGATAAAAAGTCATGGTCATTAATTCCTGATGAAGGGAGAGAGAGATTGGGAAAGGGGGGAAAGGAAAGACAGAGAGAAAGAGAGAAAGAGAGAAAGAGAGAGAGATACAGAGAATAAAAGGCCTTTTTCAGTAATTGGAGTGGATTCCATTTAGGAGCTCTGAGTTCATATAATTATTCCTCGTTATTTCTCCTCCTCTCTCCTTCCCCCTCTTCATCTTCTCTACCTCCATTTCTCACCCTCTTGACATCCTTCCTCCCCCTCACACCTTTTAGAGTCTCCATTTTATCTCCATTTTTCTTCTCCTTCCCATCGTCAATGAAAGCGCCCCAAAGTCCCTAACATGTCTCATCATTCATACTGGCCCTCCATCTTAATCCCATTATTTCTCCTCATAGTCCCATCCTCATCCGTCCCTCATGGCGCGTTAGTTTCAGAGGATCACCTCACATTTTTCTCCTCCTCCTCCCTCATTCCTCTTCTTTAGTCCGAAGTGAGAGGACTAACACAATCCCACCACCCCTCTCTCTCTCTCCCTGTTTTGTCCCCAGATTTGTCCTCTCCTGGTCCTCAGAGCTGTCTTCAGCAGCTTGAGGTGCAGGTGTTAGGGCTGGGACTAGCCTCCAGGCTCCCCTCTGGGCTCAGTGGTGGGGGTGAGAGAGGGGACTCCAAGGCCAAAGTAGGGACCTGGGCTGGGGGTGGTGCTGGAGCTGTGACCTGGACTGGAGAAACTGAAGCTGGGGCAGGGGTTAAAGAAGCTGCTGGGGACAGTGGGACCACAGCACCTCCTCCACCTCCTCCTCTTCCATCCCTTGCATCCCTCTCTCGCAGCAGGTGGACCAGGGCAGCGTGCTGGGCACTGAGGGTGGCTGAGAGGTGGGCAGGGAGGGCGTTGAAGCCGGCAGTGAGTTGCTCCACCCGCTGTTCCAGAGACAGCATCTGGCGCTCCAGGTCTTCGCTGCGGTCGTTGAGCTCCGACATCAGCTCATACATGACGCTCTGCATCTATGGGAGGAGAGGAGAGGAGAGGAGAGGAGAGTGGGAGATGACTCAGTGCACACAGAGTACTTTGAAGAGGGGAGACAGATTGCAAATATGTAAACAGGAGTATTGTGAGAGTTGCTTTATTAAAGCTTATTTAAAGAAAATTTCTTTTGGATTGAATGAGAGGAGACAGTAAAAGGGGTTAGAGAGTGATGTCAAAGTGGAGAGAGGGCAAGCACGAGGCTAGGGGGGGAGCGAGTAAGATACTGAGCAAGAGAAAAAAATGTCCAAGTAGAAGCTGGAATGAAGAAGAGGCTGGAGGGAAGTCTTTATGTGGGTGTTATAATATTGTGAAGAAAGAGAGAATAAGAGACAGGAGAGGGAGAATGAAAGGAAGGCGGCAGAGTGTCCCTGCCTTGCACATCCTGGTCTCCGTAACCATGGTAAACGCACAAGTGGCCAATTGAGATGGAGTTATTGAGATGGTATAATTGCAATATATTTTGTGTTAAAGCTATTGCTCCTTGGAAAGACACAAACAGACACACCTCACTCGATCTTTTTCTCAAGTCTCTATCTCATTCCCACTTCTCTTTCACAATCACATACACACACTCTCACACATGTACACACATACACACGTGTGTGCTCACATTCTCACTTAGACACCCACATAGTAACAGAAAAACATGAGCACCCCCCTCCTCCCTCTCATTTCCTCCTCACTCTCTCTCACTCAGTCATCCCTTTTTCAAGACTTGTTCCGGTTGCTAGGCGACGCAATGCCACAGAAACGGGCAGGTCAGCATGGAAACAGAGGAATGTTGTGGTACATTTCGAGGGGCAAATGTTTTAAGTGTGTGTCCTACATAAATGAAAAGCACAGATGAGCGTGTCACCTGTGTGTGTGTGTGTGTGTGTGTGTGTGTGTGTGTGTGTGTATTTGTGTCTCACCTTTGAGAGGTCCACTAGTGTGTTGGCCTGATCACTGAGTTTCCTCTGCTCCATTTTCACACTGCGTAATCTGCAAACACACAAGTACACACATAAAATACACAAACACATACAAAGTTGATGAATACACAGTGGTTGGTCCAGAGAGCTAATCCCTCCAGGTCCAGACAACAACACCGTGGAGCGGTCACCTTGCCTACTTCAGCTTCATTTCTACCCGCAGTGTGCCATCGGACATGAATGGACAAACACAGACAGCATACAGTGTGCTCTGAAACACCGTCATTTTGTAAATGCAGTTGAAAATATAAACAAGTTTAATATAGACTGAGATCTTAGGATCTAGAGTAAATGAATATGGTAGCTAATATTAAGAAACCTTCAGGGGAATAAGGCCTACAGGGAAATAAACTAAGGGCAATGAAATTAGATTAAAAAAAATAGAGCAGTTAGATACAATAAAATAAATCTGTGTTCAGTCCAATTAAAGATTGGACCTTGATGACTCTCAAAACACAATACAATAATTAATGAACTAAAGGCGTAATCTGTGTTTTCATAAAACAAATCCTTTGGCTTCCTCCATTATAATGAGATGCAGGCTGATTTTATGAAGCTGCACCTCCAGAGGAACTTGCAGGTTTTTGAACTAGAAAATGTACTCATATCCCCATAAAATCAACCTGTGACTGTGTTCACAGAATCCGCCTCACATCCACAGTCTACATGCTTCAGGATTAGTTTGTCTATGTTACAATTTAAAGAGCCTAAGGTCTCTTGACTCTGGCTTTTGAAGACACTTGTTGTTCTCAAGCCTAGACTGAACTGTTCAAGATCAAAGGAGCAAGCAACATTAAAGGGCCACTTAATTGCGATGCTAGACAGAGGACACTCAAAAATCTCTTAGCAAAGCAAGACTTTAACAAGGCATCCCCACACGTGGCCGTTAAACATAACTAAACAATGCTATGGGAGAAATTAATTGCAATGTGTGATTAAGTTCTGCTGTATGTATTTCTACCATCAACAACGCTCTTTAATACAGATGATATAATGATCAAATTGTCTCTAATAGTACACAATGCACTGATTATCCAGTCCCACAACTGTATTTGCCTGGAGTGAACCTGCCCTTTAGTAAATGATGATTCATTTTGTGTGTGTGTGTGTATGCGTGCGTGTATGTGTGTGTGTGTGTGTGTGTGTGTGCGTGTGTGTGTGTGTGTGTGTGTGTAGGGATTCATGCACTTTATCTGATTATCAACGTTGATTCAACCTGTGGGTGGATAGAAAGTACAGCTGATTTCAAAGGCTTCATCAGCTCAGCAGCACTGTTGTGTGCAAGTGCTCCGTGCATGTGTATGTGTATGTATGTACGTGTGCGTGTGTGTGTGTGGGTGCATGCGAGGTGTGGTCTCACTGATGTATAGCCTGGAGGAACTTCCGCTGGTGTTTGCGGACTCTGGAGTGGTCGATCTTCTTCATCAGCTTGGTGTGTTTGTAGATGAGCCAGGTCTCCCTCAGCACGTTAGCCGCCGCATTCTTTATCTGCTCCCAGACAATAAACACAAAAACACATACACACATATTGTTAGCAACAGGTAGCCCTTGGCAACTGAAGCAGGCAACAGGTTTGCCCATCCCTGTTCTCTTTCACTTCTTCCCTCCATCCTCCATTGTCTCCCTGCACAAAAAAAAAAAAAAAAAAACACTAAACCATCATTCTCTTCTTTAAGGCCGCCCTCATTCTGTGTCTCTCTCTACACACACCAGCTTGCTTGCCAATGCTTTTCATGCGTGCATAAACAGCTCTCTCCTTAGGGAGATTTGGCAATGAGAACCAACAGGAGTCTCTCCCTCACAGACACTTCTCCTTTCTCTTGGTCTGTTAATATTGCCACATTATATCTGAGAGTAACTCAAACGGGCCACCATTATCTTGGCTAGGGGAAAGTAATTCAGCACAGTACCACAGCAGTTCATTAAGACCAGTGCTCTTCCATTTAATTATGACAACAACAGAGAGAAACAACAGTGGCATGAGTCGCTGCTCTTAAACTAGCTGTCACAGACAATCCTCAACTCTGCAGAAGAGACACATTAGACAAAAAGCCTATGTAATGATGTTCACTTATGGAAAGCCTGATAGCCATCAGAGTCAGCAGTAGGATGGTAATTCTCCCTTTTAGTGGTCAGACATTGGCATCAGATGCTTTCAGTTTGTACCACCTAAATATGAGATTGCTGTGATTGAATGAAAAACAGATTCAAAATGTCAGTGTAGGCTTCAGGTCAATGATCAGGATTCTTTTACATTCATTTATATCCATATCTGCTCCAGTATGTTTCATGTACTGTATATCTCCATAGGTTGCTATGTAATTACAACACAGGGGTCTGACACCCAGCGCAGAAAGCGCGGGTGGATACCATAGAAAGGGAGAAGGGAGAGAGAATCTCTAAGGACATAAATTGAATGAGAGACTTCAAAGAGATGCTGAGCACTGAACAAAGAACAATTATACCCCCGTCTGAGGAGCACAAAAGACCCCAGCAGCTTGGCTAATCAGCACCCATCCACCGCAGTCAAGGACTGCTCACACACATACACGCCTACACATACACACATGCAGACATACACACACTATTGGCTACAGATGAAGAGTAGGAGGCCCTGGGTCTTGCAGATGTGTTTTCAATGACACAGAGGAAGTCAAACCAAAAAGTGATAATCTAACATAATGTAGGTAATATATAAGGCCCCTCCAGGAGCTTGAGTCATACAGCTAACTTGCTATAATACCAATCAATCTTAATGACAGTTCAGCATCACAAATTCTATTAATTCTTAACCTTTATACAGTGTGTTTGCTGATAAGACATAGTATGTAAATCTCATGTGAATAAACTAAAAGAAAAATATTCATGTTTCATTCAAAAGCCATGACAAATGGGATTTGGAAGTAAGTCTAGGGTTGCAGTATGAGGTAAACTCTACTATCCCATGTTCCTCTGAGGCTCATACCCCAGTGTGTATCAATAGGATTACAGAACTCCCATCCATGTAGCAAAGACAGGCACTGACAGAGCTGCAAAGACCCTACAGAGGCATCACAACCATGACATGTTGGCAGTGGGCCTACAGGCACGAATGTCAACATCACTGTTAATATCTTGATGGCAGTGTTGCATTTTTTTTTAGATAAACGTTATAACATGAAATTCAAATTTCATAAATTGCATAAATTGTTGGAAAGGATACTTGGAACCAGTGACAGTGAGTAAAGAGTTAATTTGTCTGGATTATGTTTGAACAAAACACAGTTCCTCTAGTTTTAATCACAGGCCAGGTTACTGAAGAGCACATTTAATACCCCTCATATCTACAGGCCCATTGGTAAATTGATATGTCAAATCCTATTTATCCGCTGATTAATCACTGCAGGGTGAGTGAAACATGATGGATGATGGCATGTTGTGTCTGTCGGGCCGGCTCACTCGTGTAAGTTTTCACACAAACTTCTAACATCTGTCCAGCTGTGCACAGTGAGCCTGTTACACCTCTTCAGGCCATTTAATTAGACGACGCTAAAGCTTCGCCCTTCATTTAAATCTTCGAAACTGTTTCACATGTAAATAACAGGGAGCGATAATGCCGGACTGTTTGTATTTTACAGTTAATTCCCCTGCACCACACTCTTGATTTTACTTCCACTCTCCACCTGGGAGTTGATGTAGAAACTAGAGGCAAAGACGGCAAACTCCATTAACAGAAATAAAAGACCCAACATGGACTGCTAAGAATACTCCACGAGAAGCCAAACGACAGCAGCAGCAACCGTTCCTGGACCATATGGCATGTACTTGGGCAACCATGTTGGTGCCATATGGCTGGTTTGGGTCAAAGAGCTGCTCTGGCTGCTCCCCCTACATGCACACCTTATGCCAGGTACATGTGAAATCTGTTAAGACAAGGGGTTTCCACATCTCATCATGTTGGGCAGTTGATGACATATTGTGGAGAACAAATCAATCAGTAGAAACAGAAATATTTTTATATATTATATAACAGGTCATTACAGACATTACAGATACTAGTACTAATTATAACAGTACCATAATAAACTTTTTTTTTTCAAATAAGCATGAACTCAGATATATAAATGTTGATATCATAGTGTAAAAAATAAGAATGAATGCTGAAACATCATTTTATGTTTGGACTGAAAAAAATGATAAAAAAAAAAAAAACCCCAAAAAACCTGGATTGTTTTTGCTTCATTTTTCATAGGGATGGAAATGTTTTTCTAACATCAGAGAAAAAGCAGAGGCGCCTGACCCTCCCAACCCAGTAGGGCCTTAACGACCTGTGTATGCAATTAGTAATTATGCACTGTGGTGCTAGAGATACAATGGTGTTTTCCAGAAGAGCAGAGAACATAAACAAACAGGCCAATTACCTTGGCAACAACCTCTCACCTCACCCATGTGCCACGGCGTCACGCGGCCTTACCTGCTCTGACCTTCCACTCACAGGCGTGGTGACAAAGGGAAGAGACAAGTCTCTCACACACAAACATGCACGCACGCACGCACACACGCGCACACACACACACACACACACACACACACACACACACACAGGCAGACAGACAAACATGGCCACATATCCATGAATGCACACAAACAAAAGAACAAAAATCACCGTACTAACGTCTGAAGCAAAAACTGAGGGTTTCACTCAAGGATCAAACACATTAAAGAGGATTCACACAAAATTTCTTAGAATTTAAATAATAATCGGCTTCCACTGGTGGTTTTATACATATTTTGTCTCCTGAATGAGGTTATTTGCTACACAACACCCACAGCACACCATGGAAAATCTTCATGAATTCAGACACTGCTCCGTTAAAGGGAAGAGTACACTCAGGTTCAATTGGTAACAAGTGAAAAGCATCAGAGACGTGTAAATGCATCCATTGTGTGTCAAATAAATTTTTGTCACTGTCACAATACGTCTACACTAATAAGGATCCATCTGGTTTGCGTGTGAATTAAAAGGCTGTCAGAAGAGGAGTTATTTTTACTGCGTGGGGTGAAAGCTAGCTAAGGAGAAATCTTCGGGGGTTAGATTGCTCCCATTTGGCTGGTGGTGTAAACATTGGAAGGCATTGCAGCACCTCCTCCTTGGCCAGAGCCCAGAGTGCACTCTGAATAATCAGAGAGGGCGAAGCTCTGAATATGCCACAGGGACTTCTGAAAGTGCTCGGAATTAACCAATGGTCGAACGTGGAGGCAGAATACACATTCAGAGTGCAAATTTATAGAAAGACCTAACGTTTTCAACTCTTGCAACACATTTTAAAACGCTTGAAATAAAAGCACTGACCTCAGAAACAGACTCTGCCAGCCGTATTCACACAGTCAATAGGCTTACTGCTTCAATGAGTGGCATTTAATTGACATCATAGTGCCGTCAAAAAGGAAAGAGACACCACTCCACTGCACCGACTTAGCGCCTACAGTAAGTGTGTCCTGCTTTTTCAGTGTCGAGAGCGCTCTGTGAATGTGCTGCCCAATATTCTGGCCAGATGGACTTCCAGCAGAGCTCTGAATTAACCAGTACTTCTGCATGGAGAAACAGTAAACTGCAACCGGGGTGCCAGCCTTTTAAACACACCTTTAAACACTCTGCATCAGGACAACAAGCCCTGGCATCAAACATGAGCAATTAAACCTCACACACATGGTCGACTTATAGGGGCTATGTTAACTGTTATTTAATTAACATCCGTGTTAATCCTATCAAAGGGAGAGGAACACTGCACTTCAGTGAACTCTGCATGAAAATTAACCCTGTGCATTGAACTTCGAAACGATGTCTTTAAAGCACATCATCCTCCCCTGATAAGGTTATTCGGTCTGCGCCACACAAGATTTCAGGATTTCAACTTCAGTCTTGTCGGATGTGTCTGAAAATGTGAGCCAAGGATGAAAGTGGAGAAGACTAAAATGATATAAAGTGAATATATTTTGAAGTATGTTGAAGTATGTGTCAGACAGTGTCAAAAGTACCACACACATTTGGACTACAAATGATCTGTGTGGTACACGGATGTCTGAGGAAAAGTTTATTTTGCTGTGTGCTTTAGAAGTTAGTTTGCTTGCAGATTTATCAGTCTGGCTCTGCACTCTTTAGGCGCTGGTGGGCAACAACACCCACCTCCTCTTTTCTTTCTTTTTTTTTTTTTTTTTTTTTTACACACCACATGTGTAGAGATAAGATAAGATACTAGAAAGACAGTCCACTGGCTAACAGCTTCACTGATTGGCATTTAAATGACATTCTTCTTCAAAGGGAAGGAAACACCATTTCACTGAAGTAGAAAATCAGTGTGTGTGTGTGCTTTTCTGTCTATTCATGTGCAGGTGTGTGTGTGTGTGCACATATGATGATGGCAGGATATAGAGTCTATCGTTGCATTATTCATTCTAAAGCCTTAAGTGATTGTATTCTCTTGTTATGAAGATATGGCAGAGAATGGTCCAAGCCATGTAAATCAATGTACATACAACAGCGTCAAGTATTGGTCTCTCAGTAATAGAGGGCAGGAGATAATCACCACTGCATAAACCCAAGACCCTTTGAAGCGAATGTCACCAAGCAGCACGCTGTTGAATGAAAGTGCTGAATGGCACTTCCTTTACTTGATGACTGTCTTTGATAAGATTGTGATTTTATGGATTGGGGAATAAATTCACTGAAAGATTTATGGCATCCGTTTTTTTCTCTATTCAAGGGCTGATAACATGTCAAGAGCATCAGTTTCATATATATATATAAATATATATTATAATAAATGGAATTGCATTGCAATGACTTTAAGTTACAAAAAATATAATTTTCCCTTTACAAATTAAATACTTAAAGAACATGATGTGAATTTCTAGAATTCCGGTGATTCCCAAGGGGTCAGTGGAAAGGTTGTGAGCTAGCTCAGCTAATTTGAAAAAAAAACTGATTGGATTTAAAATATATACATGTCAATATGTGTATTTAACAGCAAAATAAAATTAGTTTAGGCTGGTCTTTAGTTTACTTTACAGTCACAATACACAATAACCATCTATGATAACACAACTGCACAGCACAGATTGGGTTTTTTGCCCACTTAGGCTACTTTATCTTTAATTGGGTGGGTAAAACTTGATTTGGGTGAGGGTGATATCCATCCATCCATCCATCCATCCATCCATCCATCCATCCATCCATCCATCCATCCATCAGGTTGATTTCCACCTACAAAAGGTTTGGCTATATTCAAGAGGTTTTCAAATTGCGGTCGACTACTTTAAAAGTCTTAGCACCTGATTCTTGAGATTTGTGTAAAGATCGGAGTCATAACTGAGTCAAATCTGGAAACACAGATGTGATGGACATATTTTTTAGAATCAGTGTGACTACGTTTTGTAATGCTAACATGCTGATGTGAAGATGGTATATGGCGACAACCAAAGTCATTAGGATTCATGCTCTGCTGACCACAAATATCTTTACAAAAATATCATGGCTAGCTATCCAGTAGTTGCTGAGATATTTCAGTCTGGACCAAATTAGTCGACAGACAGCCTGACAGGCAGACACTGCCCTCCCTAGACCCATGTTGCAAAAAAATAAAAAAAATAAAAAATATAAAGAGACAATGGCTGAATATGACAATTCCAAGATCATTATGTCTTACATTAAAAAATAATTGTAACAACTTTTGTATAATTGATAGTGTTAAATAATATCAAGTTTAAAATCCTTTAAATTGTTAGTACGTCAGACAAAAACACTGGGATTCCAGACACAGACACACACACACACACACACACACACACACACACACACACACACACACACACACACACACACACACACACACACACACGGTTAGAGGTGTTAAATGTCTTGTGAAAACACCCTCTGGCTGACCTGGCCAGAGTTTGCAGGAAGATGAGGTGAGAGCCTGGCTCCAATAGAGACAGAGTGATCTGGCTCCTTTGTCGATATTTTATCCATGCTGAAATTATTGATCACCCAACCCCGTTCAGTCACCCAGATATCCTGCTGCCATAATGTACCCTACATATTTGATATGGGAGCTATTTTTAAAACTTGGGTCTTTCAACTGTATGAAAAATTGAAAAGAACTGGAGGAGGGAGGGAGTGAGAGATGGAGGGAAGGAGGAGGGGAGGTGGCAAGGAAAAGGAGGAGGGGAAAAAGAGGAAGGAGAGGAGAGAAGATGACGGATAGAAAGAGAGAAAGAGAGGGAAAGGGATTTACTGTAAGAGAGACAAATGTCAGAGGAGAGGGGAGGTGGGAGAGAGGAGGGATGGCCAAGTTCGAAGAAAAAGATTGGAGACAGAAAGAAAGAGAGAGACTGTAAATGAGGGAGCAGAACAGGGAGAGCGAGAAAGAAATGACCTTTTATTGCCTTCACTCACTCAAATAACATGGCACTCTGTCACAACAAAACACGGTGACACTGTGATGTACTAGTTGGGGAGGGTGAAGGAGGGGCAGTAAAAGGACAAGCCATTTAACCGGGCTCTCAACCACCTTTTCTCCAAAACCAGAAGAAATCCTAACCTGTAGTGCAAAATCCCCCGAAAGAACGCTCATACATTAATGCTGGACTTTTAAAAATTACAGCTCTGTATGAGGCCCCAATTAGAATGTGCAATTTCTTTTACAAATTATAGTTTTGCTTTATTTCTGCAACAGTACGACATTCTCATTCACACCACCGACACCACACAAGCCTTTACACACCCGCTTGGTGAGTTGCGTGTCCATCATGAAGTTGTGTACGTGTTTCTCGGCCTTGGTCAGCTCCAGCTTCCTCGCTACCACGGCAACCACCAGAGCTGTACAGCCCGCACCCTGAGAGAAGGAGGGAGGGAGAGAGGGAGGGAGGAGGATGAGAGAAGAGAGCACTGAGTCAGTCAGTACAGAGGAGGAATTGGTAAATCGGTGGCTTTTGGCCGCGGAATTAGCCCAGATGATTGAAGGGAGCGAGGACAAATATGAGGAAGGGAGCCGCGCGACAGAAGGAGAAGTGAAAGGGAGAGAGGAGAGGATTAGGAGGGATAGCTCCGTTCCAGAACCACATTTCCTCATGTTAAGAGACAAGCCAAGTCTATTTTCACTTCCAATCCATCTGGTGTGAGATCCCTTCTATATTGCCTCTATATGTAGCTGAAAATATGCCCCTTATAGATACAAAAACACATGAAAGATTGACACTCCCTCATTTCATTTAATTACATACTGTCAATCTGAATTACATGGTGTCAGTCTTCCTCCTGTCACCGGAGGTTTGAGGTCTGCAGTTAGTGTAAAAGTGTAAAACACAGATCGGTTCGTCCACATTCCAGCTTGACCCACATGAGACATATGGCAAATTCATTTGGGAGAGAGTGACAGTAGTCTCTCAACCAGAAAGACATGCTTGAGAGGAGAAGAGGAGCAGGAACACGGGGAGGAAGGCAGACTTAATTAACTTTCAGATTAGACACTGTTTTCAATGGGGCTGTTGAGTGCTCACAGGTTCCTCTGAAGGGGCAGGCACCGAGAGAAAAAAAAGGGAGAGGGGAAGAAAAGATAAAGAGAGTGAAGAGCTATGAGTAAATATAAATGGGGAATGAAGGAAACATGGAAGGAGGGATGAGTGCAGGAGGCGAGGGCGTGTGCATGGAATAGGAGGAGAGAAAGATGGAGAAGAAGGCAATGTTAATGAGGTCACATATCTGATAAGTAATGAATTAAGATTAAGAGTGTTTAATGAAAATGTATGAGTGCGCTTCCTCTCTGCTTGTGAGTTTGTGCAACTCACAGTGGGAGAGAGAGGGAGAGATATAAGGGGAGGAACATAGTTAGAGAGCGTGAGCGAGAGCGAAGGAGCATGCAACATTTTCAAGCATGTAGGAAATAGCCAAGACTTCATCGTGCACACTCTTGAATGATAAGACAGGTTTGCCAAAAATAACTTTGGCTGGGTTCAGTAAAATGTAACGCACAAACAGGCATTAGTGCCCACGTCTATACACTCATCCACTCTATTTGTGTTTATTCAAAAACTATGAATAAAATATGATGAGAGCCGATGGAAAACCCTTCGAACATTCATACATGTCTGTACTTTAGGGAAAAGAGACCTCTATGAACTGCTACGGAACAGTATGTACATGTGCAGTTCCTTGTGCATGTACCCAGCTGTGTGTGTGTGTGTGTTTTGTTTGCCGGTGTGTTCAAAATTGTCCTCCTCGGTCAGAAACAGTGGGGCGCTGATAGGTTTGTCAAGGTAGGCTTGTGTATATGTACATGCATGTACTAGGGAGTGTGTGCATGTGTGTGTGTGTGTGTGTGTGTATATGATAGTTTGTTTGCGTATACGCCCGCCTTCATCTGATTCCAGCAGGGTTTCCACAAAGTGACACGGCTGATGATGGCTGTGCTGCTGTGATTTGTTTCATACGCCTGGGTGTTTCCCTCGCTCCCTCCACTTCAGCGCAGCCATCTACCTAGCTGTCGGAAAAAGGGGGGTTCACCTATATCTGTGCTTCTGTGTAATATCCACACACTCCAGGTAAAAACTGCATCTTTTAGTTTCATGCAAAAGAACAGGGGAAAACGGTTTACCAACAGTAGGAAGATGTAGAGGAAAAGAGGGGAAGACGTTACAGCATAAAAAAAGATTCCTTTGCTCAATTAGTGTGCACAAAACAAGCACTTACAGGCAGAAAGAGCACAAAAAGGTCTGAAATTGTAGCTACTCTGCATCTCTTTAACCTGACGACTGATCCAGAATCACAAGAAGCTGTAGGAAATGGAACAAAAACACAAACACACATTCATACGGTAACGCTTTACTTTAAACCCCCCATTTAGCATTTCTAAACAGAACGGAACATAAATAACAGTAGCTGTACACAGACAGGAGGACAATTGAAGTATTTGCCAACAACTGTAACTTCTCCTATGAACACACATTTTGCATCATTATAGCAGCAATGTTTTACCATATTGTCATCTGTCATCTGTTTATATAGCAGCCTCCACTTATGGGTGTCCACAGGGGAGTTTTAGCTGTTGACAACTACATTAATCAACACTTATATGTACAACCACATGTATTCTTATAAACCACTGATTGAGAGTTTATATGCTTCTTATAGATGCTAAATAGTTAAAATATAGTGTTACCATTCATAACAAAATGCATGAATGAAAATACAAGTGCAAATGATACACATGCACACACACATGAATTGAAATATGTGATTTGCTTTATATTAGACAACATACAGGCTGCCTGTATTTAAACATAGTAGTCTACCCTACCACAATCCACCTACCCACACAGACACATGAAAGCATGCACATATACACACTAACACCTGGCACACCCCCAGGTAGCCTCAGGGCAGTGGTATAATCCAACACTGTTGGCCTTCATGTGTTGTCATAGTAACAACGGGGGGAGAATTTCTCCTATAGAAACTCATTACAGTAATTCTCAACAAAGACAAAAAATAATATCCTGTTCTGTCACCTGTCACCCCTGCACCAATCTGTCCTTTTTTTAAAAAAAAAAAAATCTTCTTTTCACTTTCACCTCCACGCTGTTTTCCCACGACCTGCCGCGCCCGCTCTCCCTCACGAACGGCATACGTCACCTTTCTCTTTCTACCTGCAGCCTCGCTCCTTCTCTGATGATCAACGAAAATAAACCACTCTGAACACTCTGAAGAGTGTAGCGAGAGTGTGTTTGTGTGTAGTGACAGGGGAGGAGAGTGTGTGTGGGAGTCATACTAAGAGTGTATGTCAAGCTCTGTGTCAGCGTTGTGTGGAGGATGCAGTCTGCAGCAGTGGGCTTGGGACGACTGTGTATCCACCCCCTGTTTTGTGTCTTTGTGTGTGTTAACATTTCAATGAGAGTTGCACTCTAAACACTAAAACACTGATTGGATGATTCACCGGGCAAATTGGGGGTTTATGTGTGTCTTTGTGAAAGTGCATGTTTATTCACACTAATACAGTTAAGAAAGTAGGTGAGCTGGCAAATGCAGAGAGGCTGGACAGAGAGAAGATGAAATAACACACATGTATGTTTTGGGAGTTTTGGGGAAGTTTTAAGTTTAAGTTTAAACTAGTGAGAAATATAATTTTCAAAACACCACAGATATAAACATCAGAGGAACTAAAGGAAAAGGTGAATGAGTGAGTTCTGATGTTGTTGTCCCTCTCTTGGGTTTTCTTGAACCATCATCCAGCTGTCATGAAATAGCATCTCACTGGCTTCAATATTCAGCCAAGGTCGGTGCTGCTTGACCTCAGGGGCGCTTTAGAAAACATACTCAACTCAAGTGGAAAAACTAGCAAACATGCAAGCGTATAAATGTAATACAGAAGACTATTAATAATAAAATTTAGAAATTTTACCAGCTTATTATCTTATTTTCTTGACGATACTAACACAATTCAGGATTTTAAAATCACTCAACCATTGGTCACATTATCACATCTTAACATGCATCTGGACTCATCTGAACACTGTTTAGAGTGGGAAGTGCTGTGCCGCTCTTCCTTTGTATGAACCCACTACCTTTATTTTATAATCCATTCAACAAAGCTCAACTATGCTACTGGAATTCTTTTCTGGCTCCCTTAGTTTTTTAAAACATAAAACGAACAAAAAATGGCATTCTTGCCATAATTCATTTAATGAAAAATTTGAAATTTCATATCCAGGTTCCCTCCTCTTTGTGAATGAATGCCATTTGGACACATTGAGAATGTGGTGCTTTTGTGTGCATTGCATACATCTGTAATTCAGAAAAGTAATGTTATTATATAATTTGTTAAAAAAAACTGTAACATCCCAATCTCAGGTGAGCACCCACTCTGCAGTGCTTCGTGTTTCAGCTTTTTAGCTGCACACTTGTCCTCTATTACTCACCGTACTCTCCCCTTTGGCAACATAAAACATGTGGCACACTGTGTCCTAGGAGGTAAGCATTCCCAGGTAGCATGTTATTTTTGAGTCTTGTTTTTTCTTTTGTGACCTTCAACAAAAGCCAGCATACTTATTAGCACATTTAATTTAGGATTACTTGACATTTAGCTGTAGAGCTATTAAAAAGTCTAATTTTCTTGCATTTGAAGAAACTAATTGCCCCCAATCATTCAGAAGGGTATTAAAGTGATAGCATGGGAAAGAAGCGGAGAGTCTACACTCATATCACTTAATGAGTTGACCAATTTGTCAAATTTTCAAAGACTTGTGCTTTAAACAAAAAGAAGCTAGAAAGGAGAAAGATGAAGATGAACAACGACAGAATGACAAAGCAGTGAGAAATAGTTTGAGGAGGGAAGAACACCTGTGAAGTGAAGCAAATAGAGGAGCAGTCGCCAGCTTAAACACTGATGCTAACAGATGGAGGGTAGATAGAAAATAGAAATAAACACATGGCCTCAGGGAAGGAGAGACGGACAGAGAGGAAAAGAGAGATAGAGGGATAAATAGAAAGAGAGACAGAAAGAGAGATAGGTGGATAGTGGTACAGAATAAAATGAAAGACGGAGAGGAAAAAGAGAGAAACTAAGAGTGGGAGGACATGGCACACTGAAAGGTGGGACCTTCATTATGCAATGAGGACAGACAAAGGAATAACACGCATAGATAAACACACACACACACACACACACACACACACACACAAACACAAACACACACACACACACACACAGAATCACAAAACCACTAATGTTCTCTTGTTTGCACGCCTACACACCAAAAACACACAGAAGCACAGATGCAGGCTAATTCAGAGAGGATTGCCCAAATTAAACAAATGGCAGAATTTCTCTTGCAAATGACAGCATGCTCTCTAATCTGCTGACCTTTGAACGAGGCGAGGACAACGCCACGGGGAGGGAGAGATAGAAAAAGAGGGCAATAGAGGGAGGAGCTGTACTGACCATGATTCCTGTGAGCAGACAGACTCCTTTGCCACAGTAGGTGTGAGGAACCATGTCTCCATAGCCGATGGACAAGAAAGTGATGGAGATAAGCCACATGGCTCCCAGGAAGTTACTGGTCACATCCTGGGCATCGTGGTACCTAAAAGCAAACATGTTCAGAGGATAAAGTCAGTCAATAGTAAAAGATATAAATAATAACAATAATAAACAAAAAAAACATAACTGGCCGAGCGGTCCTGTCTGCAAATGTGGGCGTCAAACCTCAAACACGTGTCGTGCAATTTTGCCTGACACAGAACATAACACATAACTGCAGCTCTTGCCTCCATCATTTCTGCCCTACGCACAACACTGTTACCATAGCAACCAATCCTGGTGCATATTTGAAACAAAGTTGTTTTCTGAAAAACTAATTCAACAGACAAACGCAAATTTTAGCCCTGGATGTTAGCGATAGATATATTTGCTCTGAGCTCTCTACTCTCCTGCCTGAGGGGACACGCTCTCCAAATTCTCAAATTTGCACCTTGTTTGAAGCAGTTTAATTGAATTGTATGTGTTTTTTTCCTTCGTTAATTTGGTTTGGAGAGGAGAGGAAATGTCAATTAAAGCTGGATGTGGACCAAACAACAGCTTCCCAGCAGCCGGGCAATGATGCCTTTAACGAAGTTTATTAACCAACGGACATTTTCCCATTTTTCCTTTATTGTATCCAAAAGCATTTCAAGACATCAAAAGGGATGGTCACGTTTCACTTTCCACTTGATGGTAGATCAATAAAGTGACATAACTTAAAATGTCTGTTTAGTAGCCTTTGACTGTAACTGGACAATTTGATTTACAGTTTACAACAGTCTTCGTCAATAACCATTTCATTTTAAAGCATCTGCTTTGGCCAATAAAACACTAGTGTGTACAGTCATATGGCTACAGCAGATAATTATTTAAGTAAGTACAATATGTACCTACTGAAGTGTTATATAATGTTATCTGCTGTAGGTCAGCTGATTTCTCATCAGCAGAGGAGAGTATGCATCTTGAAACTTGTGCTGCACCAGGTAACAAATGTAAGATATCTTTTCTCCATTAAGAAAATTAAGTATACGCAGTATATGTCCCACAAGGACATACTGTTTGATGAACTATGTCAACCTGTGTTTGACCAGTTACAAATGCGTTGTCAGACAATGTATAGCAGTTGATGAGCTAACTATTAATGTCTTTATATCTGCTTACAACTGAACTATAGTGCCTCACAAGTGTTTGTATACTGCTCCTAAATGCTGAGGTCGTGGGGTAAGGTGGGTAAAATAAAGTGTTAACTATTATATTGATATTATTCTTTATTTTTTTTGTCAGACAAAACGGACAAACTAAGAAACAACTCCATCGCCTGGATCAAATGAAGTGTACAACTGGTGTGAAAGCCTCATAAATTGAAGTCTAACGATGGATTATCTTGCACACATGTCCCAGATTATATTTCCTGCCAATTGAATTTGATTGCTGGGTTGAAATCCTCATCCAATCACAGTCCAACACTCTATCTCATGCACACACGCGCAATAAACACACACAGCCAAATGGACCAGCTTTGGTACTGACCTCTCACACACTCGCACGGTCCAGGCAGCAATGATCCACAGAGAGATGCTGAAGACCAGCAGCACCGTCCCAGGGCAGATAGTCATGAGGGTTTTCATTACAAACCGTGTGTTAAAATGCACCTGAAATACATTTACACACACACACACACACACACACACACACACACACACACACACACACACACACACACACACACATACACAGTCAGTATAGCAGAGCCAATGTCATTGTAATACACATTTTTTTCAAGGGTCAGTATTGTGTAGCTGTGAAACCTCACCCTGTGCGCAGTTTCCCACACAGGCTTGATGTTTTATTAATTAGTCTTCAGAGTAGCTTTTGATAGTGACCGCTCTCGGAGAATCTCCGCTGTAATTGGAGTCGAGATCGGGGCTCGGCCTCTGACTCGGGTCAAGTTATACAGTGTCTTAAAGTAATTGGCCTATTTTAGTGAAGTTTTTTTTTTTTTTTAAATCTGTGGTTCATTCGTCAATAAGAGGCAGACCATCAACTTCAGGCAAATGGATCATCTGAGAGCAAATTTAGCCCTGGAAGGGTTAAGCAGCTGATAAATGAGTTGTCATGTAAGAGCCGCACTTCAATGGCAGCTTCACCTCCTCCCTCCGTCACTGTAGCCTGAGGGTCAGAATAGTGCCATCGCAGATACACTCGCAAACTGCTAAATTACTCATCTAACATCCAGTCCATCTCTCCCGCTGTCCTGCTGTCCTGCTCCTCGTAGTTTGCATATTTCCAACATGCGCTACATCTCCTCTTCCTGATTTTACAGTAATGTTTATCGTTTAAAGTCATTACAAACCTGGCACCAATCATTTATTGCATGGCTTGTGCATGTTTCTCCGCACTAGTTTTGCAATCTCATTCTAGTCCTTTGTTTTCATGGCCCATTTGAGCCGTATGCAATATCTTGTTCCCATTTCATGCTCCCATCTCATATTGTATTATGAAAGATCCACCATAGCTTACATCTAAGTCTATATGCAGAGTGATAACAAAAGGAGAGGAAAGGTATTTGAATTGGTAGATAAAAAGGAACAGGGTGACTGGAAGGCCGGAGCGGCAGGAAAGACTTGAGATAGTTAGAGAGATAGAGGGCAGGGATGAAAGGGACATCACGGACACAGATTTAATTCAGAGGAGAGAGCTCTTGACCTCGATACCATTACAACTGCCTCACCTCTTTCCAGCTAAACCTTTAACAACCACACTCTTGAATGCATACTTCATAGACACACATCCGCAAGCACAAAAGCCTGCTGACCTTATTTAGGGCACCTATACTCCTGGAGGAGGCGTCGGTGAAGAGTTTACTGTGCAGAAGCATGACTCTGGCGATGAGGTAAAGGCGCAGAAACATGGGCACGCTCAACACCATGTCCAGGTCGGCCTCGGCCTGCGACGGCGCATACGAGAAGGCCAGCCGCGCCCGCCACTGAAACTTAAAGTCCCCGGGCACTGGATGCACCGCGGACACCAGCAGCTCCAGCGCAATCAGCAGGACCCTCTCCATCGTCATGGCGATGCGCCAGTCATCCGCTCCGTTGTCGATGACAAACAGCTGCAGGGACAGGAAGGACATGAGGAGAGTTAAGAGAGGAGAGGAGTTACACTTGTTTTTAAAGCAGTGCTGTGCTTACTTCTCATCATGATCCACTGCTGGCACAGTCCACTCATCAGCACAGCTGACTGATGTGATGATTAAAGGAACCAGAGGCAATTTAGAGTAAATGTCTCTTTTCTGAGATGAAAAACACCATCCATCTAATCAGTAATCCTTACTCCTTACAGTACTTTGGCTCATTTTCATCTAACCTACGACTCTTGTCTTACTAAAATTAAACCAAGGATGCCAAATCATCTTAAGCTGTTACTCTTGATTAAAACAGGATCCTAATCACGACAATCACAATATTTTACTAAAAAAAGACCACTACACCGGTATTTCTGCCAGGCTCATGAGCACACGCCTAACAATGTTACTTTAATTGCAGTTTTCCCTCCCTGTATGTTGACATTTTGTAGTTCGTAATTGCAGTGGTTACTCTTGATATTGTCGCTAAAGCCGCTGTTATAAGGAAGTGGTAAGAGCAGGTTTCATTACAGTGGCCCTCCTCCAGACTGTGCTGACAGGAACAAGGGGTGGGGGGGTTGATGAGAGAGTGAGAGGGCGGTGGAAAAAGATGGATGAAGTGCAGAGGAAATGAAGAGATAAAGATAGGAACGGGGAACTATCAGGAGGAGGACACTGCAAAAAAAAAAGAAACAAAGAAAGAAAAAGTTTCTAGCACTCAGAATTTGTGTCAAGAATTTTCTAAAAATTTGTCAGTAAATAAAACATAATGCTTCACAAAACTCAAGAAAAATCACACAATTGCACGGTTGGTTTGACAACAGGTTGGAATCTTGCAGTGTAGAAATGGCTTGAACTTTTTCATAAAAAAAAAAAAAATCTAAATTTTAGGACATGAACAAAAATGACTTAATAGGATATTCTTGCAGTGGACAAAAAAAGTTAAAGCAAGAGAGAAACTTAACACAGAGACTATAAAGAAAGGCCGGGCACAGTGAGAGAAATGAGGAACTCCCCTGCTGTAAATCGGCCAAGTTTACCAGATGCTGTACTGCCTCCAGTAACAGGCAGCACTAACAATTGCTCTTTACCACATGATTCATCTCAAGGGCTTTTAGCCCACACAAACATTTATTTAGGAAAACATAAATACAATAACAGGTCAAACGTCAGAACAAGCGAGCATGATAGTCTGCCACTAAGGGTCGTGGCCAAATGGTCACCGCATGATGAAGGAGGACTGACACTCTGCCACTTCCTCAGCCACCTATGGACACACACCGTACATAGTTCATCATTATCTATACCTAGCTCAGCAGGATGTATGTGTTTCCCTTGTTCTGCTGTTTTAACATGTGTGTACACATGCAAACATGTGTACACACACATACAGTATGTAGCCTACGCACATGCCTGAGTCATTGTGTAAGCTATCATTTGAACCAAGGGTCAAACACTGGCTGTACTCTTTAATGATTTCAGTGTGTGTGTGTGTGTGTGTGTGTGTGTACTGTATTTGTGTGTATTTGTGTATGCCTGAGTGAGTTTGAGAGAGAGTGTGCAGACCCAGCCTCATCATGGTGACTGTTGCCAAGGCGACAACATCAAAGAGCAGCCAAGCTTAATTAGGATCCCCAGCGAGAGAGCAAGAGATAGAGAGAGAGAGAGAGAGAGATGGAGAGAGGGGGAGAGCGAGAGAGTCAAAACGGGAGAAAAGCAGCTAGAGACGAGGCAAGAAGAAAGAGAAAGGAGATACAGGAAAAAAGACGGAGAGGTGTGTGTGTGACAGCAAGTGAAGAGCTACAGAGAGGAAACACAGGTCGTCTAACACTCATGTTCTCTGCAGAGACGTGCAAAGGTTTATGTGTGTGGGAGTGTATATGCGCTCACAGTTTGGGGACAAAAATCTATTCGCACTGTCACATTACGGGACTGACCTCTCATTTGAGGACAAAAAGCTGGTTGCCAGAAGGTAAACCATTGAAATTCAGGACTAATACTAATTTTTCAGTTTAAATTAGAGTTAGGATTAGAGTTAGGCATCTATGGTTATGGTCGAGGTTAGGCTAAGTCTCCAGGGAATTAATGCAGCTCAATGCAATGTCCTCCTAAGAGACAAAAACAAATTTGTATGTGTGCGTGTGTGTGTGTGTGTTTGTTTGAGCCAGAGAGTAGGGCAACCAAACTTCATGTATATTCATTCACACTTTCAGGACAACGCTTTTTGTCTGCAAATCGTTCATTCATTTCTCCCAGTGTGTGTGTGTGTGTGTGTGTGTGTGTGTGTGTGTGTGTGTGTGAGTGAGACAGAGTCGCTCCATCAGCCGTGCCTCCGTCTACCTCTCTGTTTTTCCTCCTTCTAACATCCCTCACTCCCCTTCCTTCTCTCTCTCTGAATGACATCTCCCCAAATCAAAACGGAGGTGATCCAGTTTCTTGCCACTGGAGGAAATGAGCGTCTCTCCCTTCCTCTTCCCTCCGCCCTCCCCTCCTGTCCTGTCCTCCCTCGCGCTCCTGCTGTCGGTCTTTTCCTGGCTAAATCGCCATGAGGAAGGGATAAATAATTAAATTCCATTAGGAAAGTAATCTGTCAATGGGAGTGAGTGAGTGCCACTGCCCCTGCATGACCAGGACAGAGGGAGGGAATGAGTGGGGAGGAGAGGGGGTGTTGGGAAGAGGCAAAGTAGGTAGGGATTGTCTATGTGTGTGTGTGTTTGTGTTTGTGTGAGAGAGAGAGAGACACACCCCGTCAACTGTATAAAGAGAGAAACAGCGAGTAAGGTCAGAGAACATCAAAGCTAAATAAACTCAGACATAAAGAACAAGCCCATAGGGAAACATGAGTAAGACCACGGAAAAAAAAAATTGTGCCCTCTGTTATTTTCTTAATTTTAACAAAATGTGGCATCACAGGGCAGAGGGCAAGGGACAAGGGAATGGAAGAGAAAGCAGACAGGACATAAGGAGGGCAAACTCAGAGGGAAAAAACAAACAGCAGGCCGGCGGGAGAACAAGGGATACAAACAGGGAGAAAAAAGGAGAGATGTGTGAAAATGACAGTGCCAAAGATAGGCTGAGGTCTCTTCACAGGTGACGATGTGAGGTCTGACAGGACACTCTCCACCTGAAGCACCCCACCCACCCCACCTGCACCAGCTGCTACATTGGCAACCTGCTGGAGGAGTTTGTCACCCCTCCATCTTTCCTCCTCAGCCGTCCATCCATCCATCCATGCCTCAACCCCTTCTAGTCCCCCTGGCCGTCGTAGCTTTGTAATCGTGTTAAGTCCCTGATTGCAGATGTCTCTCATCACGGAACCAGACGCAGCACTGGCCAGACTCTGCCAAGCGAGCAAACGAGACATGCAGGGAGATTTTTGCACACATGCACGCTTACACATGCACACGCATCCAGACGGCCTTGACAAATGCAGCACAGACGTAAAAAAAAAGAAAGAAAAAATAGAAAAAATGGGAGGGAAAAAGATTAAACCTCAGTCTGGGATGAGGACAGCCCTAATCACTGAAGGAGATGGTGACAGAGTGAACACTGAACTACTTTTACACACCTATGGGAAATGTCTGGGTCCTACAGCATGGAAATCCCTGGCACTGGCAGAAAATAACTGGGGTGAGCCAACCACACACACACACACACACACACACACACACACACACCCAGATTCACACACCCAGATATATGTGAATATGCAGAGTGGATAACACGCTTTCCTTGACTGTAACTGCAGCTCCGAGGGAACACCCCTGTGGCTGTTTCTACACCGTCGAGACAGGAAAGAAAGGGGATAGAGGGTGTCGTGGAAGTGGAAAGGAAGTGCTGGAAAGTGCGAGAGATGAAGAAAGGTTCACGGTTGTGGCGTGTGCATGAGCAGTGTTGCCTAGTTTGCCACTAAAAAATTCTAAAAACAGCAACTGTGAGAGAGTGAACAGAGGATTCCACCGGTGGTGTCTTGAGACCAGGAATTTCTTTCGCTCAGTGCAAATATAAAAGACAGATTGTCACTAAAAATGGACAGAGGCTAGTGAGACACAAATGGCATCGGATAAATTAACATTTCTTGGAAATAAGAGGGTAAAATGGTTCTTTCACATCTACAGTGAGGCCGCTGTTGTTTATGTCACTCTCATTTCCTCTTCCATTATATTTCCCGGGGCAGATGTACATTATGCAGAATCTGCAGAACATGTCATCATGAAATGACCAAGCATTGCACGTCTCAGGGCTGCAGGCTCACTTTAACAACCCTTCATGGAAGACGACTGCTCACTTTATTTTCCTAAAGCCATTTTGCCTGCATTTGAGTGGCTGCGAGGGATCTTCTTGATCAATGATTACTTCTAAAATCCTCCAAAAGTAACTGAATAACACAGTTTGCTAATGCTTTAAGTGCACAAATGGACTGGAGAAATATCTCTTTCTCACACACTCTCTTAGAGTTTCTATTTGATTAATTTAAACAACAATTCAATTTTTGCCTTTCAAGTCTGGATTTCTTGCAAGTTTCTCAACTAAAATGAATCCTTTTGTTTTAGAGAACCTTTTGTTGTCAGGTATGTAAAAGTTTCTCTGTGTGTGTCTGTGTGTGTGTGCAAAGGAAAGAAAAGGGCCCTGGTGAGCTGGCAGATTAGTGAGTCATGCAACAGACCAGGATTTCAGATGCATGAACATGCATAGACGTCCCTGGACACTACATGAAACACATGAAAGAAAAGGTGCAAAGCTGCTGAAATATTCTGTTATGTTCTATTCACCTCGCAAACATGCAGCCTGGTTTTGGCCCTGTGAATCATTGGTCCTTCTGATTTGCCAAAAGGCCATTTAGAAACTGTGATTCATAATAACTACTGTCTTTAGGGTAATTTTTTTGATTCATCATTGGCTAAACCAATGAGATTTCAATATTTCAGTCTCCATTATTCATGACCAATCTCAGTCAGTTGGGTGCAATGTTAACTCAGACTAATGGT